TCACAGCCTCTTAACAACATAAAACTGTACCACTATTTTTCTTTGGCATGAAACAAAACACCAATTGTCTGTCTGCAAGCAGATTTAAAATGTACTGAAAATGAATTTCTGCTGCTTCACAAGCAATCCATCCAGCGATAAATAAAATACCCCTTTAAACACAAGCTTGCCCTTCAGCCGAGTCACTGACTTCATGTCTTGTTATAAAAACAGCATGAGGACTTCCAACCCAGTCAGGCTAGTGATCCGGCCCACCGAACACCATCGCCAGCTCAATCGATTGTTTACTCTGGTCCAACTCCGTTGGCCGACAAACTGAGTTATCATCAAAACATCCCACAGCGACATAAACCAGATGGCCCCGAAGAAGAACAACCACGTCTTGAACAACAGAAGTCACTTCAAGAACAGCCGGGGAGACTGGAGCAACCGCGGTTCGACAAAGAACAGCAGTGTCCCATGCAAGAGCCTACGCTGCAACAACAACAACAACAGCAGCATCAGCAGCAGCAGAACCCTGAACCAGAGAACCAGTCCCAGGCAGCGGGGCCACACCAACAGAAGTCACAGCTTACACAGAAACAGAAAGAACTTTTGCCGCCAGCCCAACGTCAAGAGTCTCGGTTCTCGCCCCAGTTCTTCAAATCAGCCCTGAAAAAAGTCGAGCTTCATAACTCTGTTTCCTCAAACGACTCATTTGAATCCCCTGGTAAAGACGAGGATTGGCATCTCTCTTTACGCAAGTCCGCTTTGAATCCCATGATGGTTAATCATTACTCCACCGGGCCTATCTTACCTCCTCAATTCGACCTCAAGGCCAAGAAAGTGTCGAACAGTAAGCTACTTCTTCTTCTTCATTTATCATTCATTATGGGCAAAGAAGCAAAAGAACTCAGTGACATCTGAGTCAGTTGTTTTTGTTGAGCTGACGATCCTTCTTGATTATTGTAAAACAGTTGTTGATCTTTTCGAAAAAGCTCAGCCCGAATCTCCGCCCCGTGACAACAACGCATGTTCCCTGTCTTCCTATAGCATTACCGAGCATCGGGCTGCTCCCTCCCCGATCCGGATCCCCGTTCGCTCGCTGAAACTCTCCCGCGTTGGAGAACAAGAGGAAAAATGATTTGATTCTTCCCCGCCCCCTCCCCTTTTTGTTATCCATTCATCTAGCCTTATCGAGATTACGTGATATCGCTTCTACTTCGGCGCTCTTAGATCATTTTGTTTCGCTCCTTAACTCGTCCTTATTTTCTCAGCTCACGCTTTTCCTTCCCAACTGGATAGTTGGCAAACATTCATCTTTTTGGTTCTTTGGTTCATGTCGTTTTACGTCACACGTGCTTCTTCTTTGACGTCTTAATTAACTCATTCTTCTTCTTTGCATTCTCATTATTATTATTATTTTCGACGTCTTCCGTTATTCATAAACATGTACTAACTCAGCTTACACACCATTGCTTTGATTTAAGTAAGAACCTTCAGCTCCTTTCGTTTTTCGATCCACTTTTTTTTCTGTACGTTGTATTGCTTTATCTATCTTTTGCATCTATTCTTTTGTGTTTCTCCATCAATTTATTTGAATACATACACCATGAAAGATATGAGGGCAGCACATGCCAGGTGACATGAAGCTAACTCCTGCCTTGATTCCAGTGTTACTTCAAAGTCAGAGGGTTGGGACTCCCTGATGACCACAAAGAGCCCGTTGTTATTTGAGCAGACAAGCGCCACAGTAACAATGGAGTTCTAACATATGTTACTTCATGTCACCTGACACCTACTGCACTCAGATATTTCATGGTGATACTCATGTAATGATATGTACTCAATAATCCCTGTTCACCTTTCCTGGGTGTTTTTGATTTTAGTTGATGTGCGATTCTTACAGGTTGACAGCAATTATGGGTCTCGTGATGGGTGTGCTAGAGCAACAATGAGAGCCACACATTGCAATCATGGACACTGTCAATGGCAGTTGACCACATTAATTAGACATGTGATATCACCTTTTCTCCTCCACACCGTAAATGTGGCCAAATTGTGACCATCAACCTAGAAGCCAATGGCACCGTCAAGGGGACATTTTCGATGGAGTTCATTCAACTATTGTACTCAATTGTATGATCCACCTCAATATGAAAAACCCCAAACTTTTGCGAATGAAGGTCACATAGATATCCTTAAGATGTATACATAGTGACTGACCCATAGTTCTTCGGGCAGGCCAGTCACAGGACTACCTGGGGGCTCGCTCCGAAGCAGGTTGTGAGGGGTCTCAGAGAACCAAGGCAATCGAATTGAGAGTCGGATCGGAGGGACTTGACCCATGTGTTACCATAGGCCGAATTCTCACTAGAAAAATGGTTTGGGTTTGAATTTTGAAACGCGTGATCTCTGGAGAGCTCGCTCGCGAGTCTGCGCAATATGGGCAAGGCGGTCTGGTAAGTCTTGTAAGTTGTAGGTGATGGAAAGCTGATGCATGGTAGAGCTTGAGTAAGTCTCAGCCTTCCCTTCCTCTGGATGTAAAGATGAATCCGTTAACTCTCGTCCTTTCGCCCTCGGAGTCCGGACAGGGAGTTCGGTGTATGTTTTAATGTGCATGCATCGCGTCGGCGAAAAGTATGTATCGACAGTTATTGGGGTCATCCTTTCATGGGGAAGATTCGATTACCCCTCACCCCTCCGTGGTGACTGTTCTATGTATGCTGCGCTCCAGCGGCTGTACACGTATGGGACACGCATCCAATGCAAACCATGGGCCGATTGGAGTGACTGTTACATCAGATATGTATCAACAGATTGGCACAACTTGAGTAGAACCTGTTTTTCAGGGTAATCGTATTATCCTTCACGAGCCTGCCCGCCCGCCGTAGCTGAGGAATCTTACGGGATCACGCTCACAATCTGTTGATGAGACAAAATAAATATGTACGCATTCAACATCCAAACGTTTTTTCGTCTTTCAAATTCTCATACCGTCAGAAAGATTATCTCTCGTCACAGTTGCTAAGAGTTTTCTTTCTCCCTCTTCTACATGCAGTCTTATCGAACTAACACTTCTTCGATCTTCAAAAGTGAGAATGCGACGTAGCCTTCGTCCTTCGCTTCTGCTCTTGGTTTGTTTTCTGGAAGATGCAGTGAGCGCAATCGAGCCAACGGAGTCAACTTTCAACCACGTCGGGTTCAGTTCCGCGTTGAACGAACGGCCAAATATTCGCGAGACTCTGATTCTATTTCCTCTCTCCCCTGAGAGAAAAACTGAGGAAGAAGATAACTTCAAGGAGGAGCGAGTTCCCAGCGCTGCGGTCGAAGAAGGTCCTCGGCCTCTAAAGCGTTTGATGAACGTCAGTACCCGCAAGAATTATAATCAACATCCCGCGGAGTTTCATGCCAATGCCATTCAGCAAGATCAACCCGAATTTTACTCAGGAGCCACCTTGCCGGCATGGATGACAAGTCATTCACTTCCGAGCGCTCCGGTTGAGGAAGCCGATGGCCGGCCCTCAAAACGTCCACTGGACATCAACGCCCCCGACAAAAATAATGGCCATCCCGAAGAGGTCCAGGTTATTCGGCAATCACCATCATCCATATCTCACTCAGGCTCTACCTTACCGACATGGATGACAAGTACGCGATCTAAAAAACCCGATCTACCTCAACATCAGCATCCTGATTCTGAATCATCGCCAGTACTTCAAAACAATCCCCCAGCTTCGCATCCTCTACCTTCGATACCCGAAACTTCCCACCAGAAATCGAAAGGAGCTAAGTTGAGCCTTAAACGGAAGAGCACTACACCGAAAGACTCTCCTCTTTTGAACGGCGGAAGTGGGAGTGCCACTGACAAGAGTCTTCCTCCGCACCCGTTCCAACATAGAACCATTGAGGATCAGAAATGGTCTGAATTGCGCGACAGTATGCAACTCAACACAGGTCACTCCTGTCAAATTTTAAATTGGACACCACATGTGATCAACCCCAAAGCTGCTCTTGTTTCCCATTTCATGGCGAATGAATTCCTGAAATCAATATCATCCTTTTCAGTCAGAAGTACATTGCAATCGATGCACGCGTCGCATCAAATCTTGATCCCTTTCGTTTACGGACTGATGATCAAGCCACTGACAGTTGAGAGTTGGGCGCGAATCGTTTTGGTATGGCGGAACTTTTGGTACGATAAATCAGGGAAACTGCTAGAACCGCCGGCTGAAGTCTTGCGAAAGTTTCTTTGGATCTCGGATCTCATTTCTGAATCAGTGATGCCAGAATTGTTTGAAAATGCACTTGGAAGAGTCGAGGGTGCCAAACTACCAAACTCTCTTCACCTTCTAACTCATGAAGCTAGGATCATCAAATTGCTATCAGATGGAAGACGTCAACTAGATTACATCACTGCAGACCAGCAACAAGCATTGCTTCACATGAAAGCCAAATTAGCTGAGGAAAATATCCACAAGATTCAAGAAGCCGACCTACCTGAAAATCAAATCCTTTCCTCGTCGCGCGTGATGACCATCCTGGATAGATTAAAACAAAAGACTCGATTGATCAACCCTCCCCATTCAGATATGGAGAATATAAGAGAAAGAATCCACAAGGAGTCCGCATCTTTCTGGGACGAAAACCTCTGGGTACACTACATCAACCCTCGAAATCCCCTAGCTATGTTTGGTACCATGGGAACTTTGCCGCATCTTACTGGTTGCCCTGTTGATTTCAAGACAAAGCTTGTGGAATTTTTTCAGATTCTGGATTTTGATCCGATCAGTTTTGCAAGATCTCCTGTAGGGACAAATCCATGGGAAATGGACAATCTTCTGAGGATGGTTGATAGGCGAATCAAAGACATCAACGCTGGAAAGCTTTCGAGACCGAAAGGGTTTCTCCCGGAAGTATTAAATACTGTCTTTTGTGAAGAATATAAAACATTAGTCACCAAAAAACAGGTTAAAGCCCTAAGTCCTATCAAAAACCATGATCAAGTTTAATGAAAATCTTGATGTGATGCTGGTGCTCTTTTGTGTCTAATTGCCTATAGCTGTTGGGTTATGAAAATTTTTAGGAAGTGTCTTCCAATCCTGTTGAATTTATCTCAATTGGAAAACCAGTTGTATCAAAACAAGCTTGCAGCCTTCCCTTTCTGCCTCTCTCCCCCTCTCTCCCTCTCTCACTCCTTATAAAAGGGCAATTAAGATAAGATAAAAAACCTAATGGAATAAATAAACTGGCAATTTGAGTTGAAAAATTCTTAGCTAATTGATAACTTCACCATGATTCTTTCTCATAGGAACATATTTCATTTTGACCTGTAGTCAACTTCAAAAAAGCAAGTTTTTGTGTAAGGATTTCAATAGGAAATTTGCAGTCCATTTCAATCAGCATTTCCATTTAAATACCACTGAATTGAAATCAATTCTTTCATGATGAATCAAATAAGTGATTGGGGAGATGACTCTCAGTAGCAATGGGGGGCATTACCTAGTTTTTTACTCTCTGCTTTACTTACCACAAACCAGTTGTTTTCTTTATCTTTCTATAATCACAAGATGCATACTATTACTAGTCTTGTGAATTGTCAAAAAAAAGTTATTGCATGTTGGTCTTCATGGGAGAACTATAGCAAGTTGCAGCAAGATAGACAAGATGATAAAAAGAAACAAAATGGATGGAATGAAACTGGAGAGGAGTGAAAGAATCATAGGAGGACTGTGAAGAAAGACCTGATGAGAAAAGGAAGGTGAAACTGAAGCAAAGAGGAAATTGATTCAAAGAAAGAGATCATCAGGTGTGGTTCTGCTGCCCTATGGCTCAGTCATAGCTAACATTATCTACATTCAATATGTGCCCTTTTCCTACAGTGTGGTGAAATTCCTATCTAATTTAGTCTTTCTTGACTCTTCTTTTTCATTTTTTTATCTCACTAGTCCTTCTGATGTAGACCTGACCTTAGAATC